CTCCAAATAGATGCCTGGAGTCACCATGACAACGTGGCCGGAGGGAGTCAGGAGGCTGGGGCTCCTCCAGGGCTCTTGCCTTCATGCCCAACTCCATCTCTGAGCACCCAGGGCAGAAGCCACAAGCACATGGGGTAGAAGGAGAACCCCAGGTTCTCCTGAAAGAAAGCAGGGGGCTAATCCCTCTGAAGAATGAGGCATCCTGTCATCTACCAGACTGTGTGACAAGGAGAGCCACTGTCACGTGCCTTGGACTCACAGAAATCAAAGAAAAAGCCCTCAGCATTCCCAGTCTGCCAGGTCAGCAGTAAGAAATTGGAGAAAACAGATTTGGCAGCATCCAGAAGGTATTAAATATTCATCCCGACTACCCATCAGTAAAATCCCAGCAGAATACACCCCCGGACAAGTTGGCTTTCTAGACCGGAGGCTGTCCTCCTGGAAGCTTGTTTATTGCTTTGTCAATTTTAATGTGCAATATTTAATAGCCAGACCAAGGTATGGCCATAAACATTTAGAAAATGAGTGCTGACATTTCCCTCACTGCTTCTGTATTTAGAAATATGTAAGTGGAGGGTGTTTTGGTGCTAAAGAAAATCAGAAGAAAGCAAAGCAATGCTTTGAAATTAAAAAAGAACTAATTAAAAACTAAGAATCAAATATGTTGAACTGGCTTGAAGTCTTGCCTAAATGCCCCTTGGGGGTCACACTCTGCCACCATTGGAGTAAGGCTGACAAAACCCACAACAACGGGCGTGATGGCATTCCTGGAAGGTTCCTTAGGGGTGTGCACACCGAAGAGGAAGCATGCATGTAGAGTGGTCAATAACAGATCCACAACAAATGGATGGTGCAATCCAGCCAGAGATTTCAATGAACCAAGTGCTTCTGGCGTGGTCAGGCCAGCAGGGGGCTCTGGTGGGGCCTGGTCTGGGCGCCGGAGCAGACAGCGGCAGCAGCAGTGGAGAGCTGATAAAGGGACCAGTGAGCCAACAGTCCTCCGGGTTTCTATCTGATTCAAGTGGAATGAGAATATTCAACAACATACTCTGAAAAGGGGGTGGGGTAGACAGTGGGGGGCCTTCCTATGGAAGACACCAGACTAGGGATAAGAATCCATGTTTTGAGGGGCAAGGTATAGAAGGAGAGTAGAAAGAAGAGGAGCCAGCACTAGGTTTGAGCTCCAGTGTCCCAGAGCCTTGAAGCCATCTTGTGGCAGAAATGAGAAGAAACAGAGGAGTTAGAGGAGGCACAAATTCAACTCCTACACCACTGGCACAGTGTCTCTTGAGGAACCTCTATGGGTACCTTGTGACCCCATTTAAAAAACAAATTTAAATATTTGCTAAAGGAGATCAGGAAATCAGGGATGGTAAACCAGACAATAGAAATTGAAGAAAAGTACATGGTACCAAAAAAGATTTCCTGAGAAGAAGAAGAAAAAAAACTGTCTAGAAAATGCCATAATACTGTATCATAAAATTAAGAGCTTGGACTCTGGAGCCAGACTTCCTGTCTGGATTTGAATCTTGCCTCTGCCTCTTACTGTGGATCATTGGATAATGTATTTAAACTCCGCGTCCGCATCTATGAGATGGATGAAACAATCCCCCCTCGTGGCATTGCATGGATAAAAATGAACTAAGTAAGTTTTTACATGTATAACATTTGGGACGGCAAATAAGAATAAGAGATTCTGGCCCTGGCCAGTTTGGCTCAGCGGTTAGAGCGTCCGCCTGCGGTCTGGAGAGACCCGGGTTCGGTTCCCGCTAAGGGCACGTGCTTCGGTTGCAGTTTGTCCCCGGCCCTGGTTGGTCGTGCGGGTGGCAGCCACTTGATGTGTCCCTTCACATCGATGTTTCTCTCTCTCTCTCTCCCTTCCTCTCTCTCCCTCCCACTCTATCTGTACAAAAAATGGAAAAATATCCTCTGGTGAGGATAAAAAAAAAAAAAAAAAAGAATAAGAGATTCTGAAGAAGTTAGTATTAGCTGCTATTGTTACTACTGCCACCAGGACTTGGATTCCTCATATCAGCCTTCTTGAAAGAGTAAGCTCTGCCCAGCCAGTGTGGCTCAGTGGTTGAGCATCAACCCATGAGCCAAGAGGTCACCAGTTCGATTCCTGGTCAGGGAATATGGACAGGTTGTGGGCCCGATCCCCAGTGAGGGGTATCAGGAGGCGGCCAATCAATGTTCTCTCTCCCTCTCCCTTAAAGCAGTAAAGGAAGAAAAATTCTTTAAAAAAGAGTGACCTCTTCTGTTAACAGATGCAGAGGAATCATTTCTGATGATACAGCCTTGAAAAGGCCAAAGTCTCCTTTCATCCTCCCCAAGAGCTTTGTACTAAGGCACACCTGCATTCAAATCCCAACTTCCTATTCACCATGTATTTAACTTCGGCAAGCCAGAACCTCCCTGAGCCTCAGTCACTCCATTTACAAAATGGGAGAGCAACACCTTCCTCCTAGGGTTGCCGTGAAGACAAGATGAAGGGAGATTGCATATACCACATGTCCAACACGGTCTCGGGCACAGTCAGCCCTCTGGTATTTTTCTACTTCTGTGTCCCCCAAATAAAAGCTCCAGTACCAACCAGAGTGTGTGGGGAAAAGCTCTTTGGAACATATTAAGTGCTAAATGCATCAATATTTAATAAAGGAGAGTCAGTAACACTTAAGGGATGCACTCTCCTGGTGCCTCAGCCACTCCCCGGGAGCGTGCGGCCTCAGGGAGACCTCGCTCTCTGCAGCCTCTGGAGGGCCCTGAAAGTGTATTACTGGGCACCTCTGGGCACAGACGCCACAACAGCCCAGCACGATGGCACTGCACATTCTTTACAGTGAAAATACAAACCAACCGACTCAGCGTAGGTCACACCTGACACAAAGACAGTCCTCAGAATAGATCCTCACTCTCCAGCTTTTTCTACCCAGGACGCAATGAAACGGTGCAATGGAAAATGGAGACAGATGGATGTCAGAGAGACCTGGACTCCAATCTCAGTTCCAGTCCCAGGTTCCCACTCACCAAACTGGCTTAAATACCTGGGGGCCTTGGTTTCCTCCTGGGGAAACCAAAATGGGGATACAAACATCTCCATGATTCCACTGGCAGATGAATTGAAAAAGAAAGCCTAAGTACTAGGCACACAGCCTGGCACCTATTTTTGTCCCTTACCTCCTTTAGTAACATCGTCAATTGATCAGAATCAAAATAACTTGAACCTTTGATAAATTAATTCCATATTCTTCCCTTATGAACTCCAGTCTCAGATTCCAAGGAGCAACAGAAACAAGCAAATATTAGGGATTTACGCAAAAAGGCAATGTCAGGCAAGGTCCTGGGGTCAGGGCTTCCTCTGCTTTTTAGAGCTGCAGAGCCATGTGACAGGCGCCGCAGCTCATAATGCCGGACTTTGAGGGCCAGAGGAGACCACAAGAGGTGTAATTACGACCTCGAAGTTCTACTCAGGCAGGCAGGCGAGTGCGTCCCTGGGCACTTCCCACAATGAGGGCTCACGGAAATGGGGTCTCTGCTTACCCTCCATTAACCTGAAAGCCCATTTAAGCAGAACAGCCTCTTTCCAGAGCATCTTGTCATCCACATTTAGGGTCTAATTGTCCAAGAAATGGTCCCTTTATTTACACAACTCATTTGCTCCAAACTCTGGGACAGAACAGGCCTCTTTGGGGTTAGAAGAGGTGGAGGGTAAACTCAGACATTACCTTCTGTAACCTCACATTGCTGAAAACAACATGGTGACCATCTGAAGTGGTCCAGCAGACTGGATTAGACACAAACCATGCCTGTGAGCATAAAGAAAAATCCTTTTTGCAAGGTGTTCAAACCGTCTTAGCAAAGTGGGTAGGTCAGGAAGTCAGAAAAAAGTCTTTGCAAAGTCACCTCTTGCCCACCCTCCCACCACTCACTGCATGGGTGGGTGCCCACGCTCTCCTGTCAGGGACCAGGCACAGAGGAAAGCAGGACCATGGCCTGGGCTCCACCCTCACCCAGCTTCCATCCTAGCAGCAGACCAGACAGACAGCACAGAAACCAGGGGAGCGGCACACACTTAACCTCTCCCGTGTTAAAGCAAGGGCCTGATGGAGGTGAGCGTATTTGCAGAAAACTCCCCAACCAGGGTCCCCAAATTAGTGCATCCTCACCACCTGCTATAAGAGAGACTTAGTCGAATGGAAGAATAAAGTTCAAACTCAGCACATGAGGACTGGGCCTGGGGTCAGGAAACCAGCATGAGAAAGGCAGGCAAGGGTTCAAATCCTGGCTCCACTGCTCACCAGCTATGTGACCCTGAGCTAGCCGAGCTTTCCTGGGTGGCTGTGAAACTCTAAGAGAATACCCATCCGGAGCACCTAGCACAAAGCAGATCCTCAGTAAGAACCTCAGCAAGTTCCTTCTTCCCTCTCCACTCTGAGGTTCCTGGTCTGCAAACAGGGACTATGGTGCCTTGGTCACACCACTGTTGCAAGGATTATAGGAAATGACATTAAGAGACAGAGCTTCTTGCAAAACAGTCAGCCTGACCACTTTCACAAATTCCGGTGTCTTCACACACACATGCGCGGCCAGGGAACAGCTCTAGATTAAAGGAATCCAAAGAGACATGACAACTAAAAACAATGTGTGATCCCTGACTGGACCTGGTTTGAACTAGGAAAATTTAGTAACATCCTATGATCACAGGCACCCCTGCTCTTAGGAGATATACGCTCAAGTATTTAGGAGGAAGTGTCCTGATGTCATTAACTTACCCTTGAATGGTTCAAAAACAACGAAATACCCACAGGGGGAGAAAAATGCCATAAGACATTAACAACTGGCCATCAAGAAAAGGGAATATAATTCTTTCAACCCACATAGATTTGAAATTTCTCAACATGAGAAGTTGGTAAGTCATAGTGGCCACACCGAGGGCTCAAGCACACGTTTTGTTCCCTCCACATGTCATCACCCAGTGCAGCAGAGCCCGAGCCCCTTACCTGGCTGCAGCACCCTGATCTCCAGCAGGTTAGAGGTCCGCTCTGCCAGCCGTGTCCAGGTGTTGTTGTAGTTCTGCCGCCACAGTTCTGCCACACACTGGTACTTGCCCGCCTCCGTGTCGCTGGCTCGGCTGATGCTCAGGCGGACGTTGTTGCTGGACTCAGCCTTCTCGATGGCCGTTCGGGTTCGGAAGCTGGAGGACCTATCCCCCCACTGGACCCCTCCATCCCGGGTGAAGGTTACCAGGTCATGGAACTCGACAGTGCCCACAGGCTGGAACCGCCAGGTCACTGACACAGGGACCCGGGCTGGGTAATGGGGTTTGATGATGCACTGCAGGTCGAAGGAATCGCTGTAGGTCACCCCTGGCGTGCGGGAGATGGCTGTGACCGCAAAGCCTGTTTCTGGAGAGAGAGCAGACAAGCTTAAGAGGAGTCACCTGGCTTTCTCAGGGGGTGTGACGAGGCAATGGGGATCCTGGCAAAAGCTAGCAGAGCAGAGCAAAGGCTCGTGGGTCTGTTTTGATGCCCCAGCTAGTATTACACTAGCTGTCACGTGGAGGCATAAGCCCACAGATCACAAGACCCCAGAGAGAGAGGCAGTTCTCCTTGAGCAGTATTATATTACCAGTTCCCTCCCAATGAAGCCCTCACGATGGCCATTCAGGCTTGGAAGCTGGAGGAACTGTCTTGATTTGCAATCCATCAGTCCCCATGCAGGGCCATTTCTAAAACTCCTGGGATTCCATGCTAACGCAGGGGGAAAGCCCCAAAGCAATTTCTGTCATCACTTGCGAGGTGGCTCATCATCTCAGCCCCGATGCCTCTGCCTGGCCCACCAGCGCACCGGCCCTGGAGAAGGGGGACAGATGCAGCAGGTGTCCTGGCTGAGCAGTATGGGCTTGGTCACTGGTCCCTTTTCCATTTTCCTCATGAAATGCAGGGAAGAGAGGCAGTGAGGAACCCACAGCAGGAGAGAATGACCTCCAGTAGGTGGGGACCTGGGTGAGGTAGGGTCCTGCAGTCACCGCAGGCCGAGTCTCTGGATGTTCTTTACTGAAGGAGAAATAGCACTAGTCCTCAGCACGAGAGAACCCAACTCCTGCAGCTCTGAGCTACCAATTCTGACACTTCCTAGCTGTGTGACATTGGGTAAGTTCCTTAGCTTTTCTGTCTCTATTTCCCTATCTGTAAAATGGGTCTATGCAAAGATTAAAGGAGTTCATGTTTGTAAAATACTTGGTATAGTACCTGGCACACAGTATAAACAAAGAGACATAAAGTAAAGTACTTTAGATTCTAGAGGCAAAAGACTAGGGATAGAAAGAATCCTTTGGCTTATATGGGGAAGTTAAGTCAACAAATAGGTAGTCATAATTTGCTAAATACTCTAGGTCTTCAATTGGATTTCATAAGCTATCTTTATGTTTCCTATTTTTTAAAAGGTAAGATACAGCCCAGTTGGTGTGGCTCAGTGGAGTAAGTCATCCTGTGGACTGAGAGGTCCCGGTTGGATTCTCAGTCAGGGCACATGCCTAGGTTGCAGGCTTGATCCCCAGAGGGGGGCGTGCAGGATGCAGCCGATTGATGTATCTCTCTCACACTGTTGTTTCTATCTCTCTCTCTCCCTTCCTCTTACTAAAAAAAAATCAATAAAGCCCTGGCCAGTTTGGCTCAGCGGTTAGAGCGTCGGCCTGCGGTCCGGAGAGACCCGGGTTCAGTTCCCGCTAAGGGCACGTACTTCGGTTGCAGTTTGTCCCCGGCCCTGGTTGGTCGTGCGGGTGGCAGCCACTCGATGTGTCCCTTCACGTCGATGTTTCTGTCTCTCTCTCCCTTTCTCTCTCCCTCCCTCCCACTCTATCTGTACAAAAAATGGAAAAATATCCTCGGGTGAGGATTAAAAAAAAAAAAAAAAATCAATAAAAACATGTTTTAAAAGGTAAGATACAGAGGCCCATCCCTAAACATGAAATGGTTGTGATGGTCACTTGTGCACCTGTGTGCAAAATGTGTTGCCATGTGGATGGTGGAGCACAGGACCTTGGGGACAGGACCTCCCCCAGGTGCTCCTGAAGGGGAAAGATCCTCTCTGAGCCAGTGACAGTGTCAGCCTGGCTCAGGCACGCACCACGGTCCCAGCTCACAGGGAAGTCAAGTTGTCCTAACTGAACAGTCACAATGGCCTGTGTGGCTGGAGATTTGCACCCATCTAATACCCCACCTGGGCACCTGCCGCTGTCCCCTCCCTGCTGAGAGGGGACCCATATCTCAACTGTATTACTATGAAAATGTGTTTGTCATTGTTTAGACGGAAAAGGTCACCTTACTCCAAGCTGTCCTCCTGTTTTCCCGTTCCACACCCTTGGGCCACCATGATTATGGCTTTAGTCAGAAGCACCCCAGCGGTGGAAACCAGGTATCAGATCCAGACCCCTGGGATCCCAGGTCAGAGCCCCTGGGTAACCCCTGGCTGTGGGAACCACCAGACATAGGTGAAGTATGGGAAAATTCAGGGGGTAACCTGAAACCGTAAAATTACTTCCAGAGAAACAATCCTGACTCACTCTAACCCCTCTCAGATATTCCTAATCTCACAGGACAAGGAAAATTACCACTGCTGGGTGCCCAGAGCGTCCCCCAGAGGCTCCATTTCCACAGGCGCACATGGGGCTGAGCGGGGCACAGGGGTTCAGCTCATCGGGACACAGCCTCTGGATGAAGTTCTAGAGACAGGAATCTGAGCTATGTGATTACTGCAGAAAGCAGGTCAGTCTTTGGGATTAAGCTTTTAGAAAGTAAATGTCATTCTGATCTGGGGGTGGCATGGAAATGGAGGACTCTGTGGGGAGTGCAAAACCACTCAGGGCTGCTAGCTTGACTGCGGAGTGTTCTAGAGCACCAGCAGCCCCACGGGGAGGGGGGCAGTCAGGAGGACAAGTGATGTCAGAGTCTCCTGATAAATAGGAGACCTAACATGACATGTTACCTTCCCAGCAAGGCAGCAGACTGCCTTTTAAAATGTAACACACTGATTGTATTAGGAAGATAAATGTTGATAGAAGCCTCTTTAAGTACCCCATGAGAAGCAATCTAGTATTCTTTGGTTTTAGCAAATCTCAAGGTATCTTTTAATTTCATGCTAATGAGGAAATAGCTTTCTTAAGGAGGGGCCTCGGAGAAAAGGAGAACAAAACACAGGCTTTGAAAAAAAAATTAAGACAGATCGCTGGTTTCCAGGGTTCAGACTGTGGGCCTATCATTTAAAAGGCAAATTAGTTAACCTGTCTCACTCAGTCTGCTTATAAAGTGAAAGTGTCTACCTCTTGGGTAGGCACTTAGACTCAGCCAGGAACATAGGATATGCTCAATAGATGGCTAAAGGTGATTCTCTCCCCCGCTGAGCTCTGAACTCGCAGGAGGGCTGAGCACCTGGGCAGCAGGCAGGCGTGCCTGGGGGCAGGACAGCAGCTTTTGCTCCTGCTCTTCAGGCCAGTTTTGAAGGTGGCCATGTTCCTCTCCCTGGGGCCACCGTGTGCTGCTGAGTGGCCTCACTCCTCTAGCCAGAATACTTACAACTTCACTCCCTGCTGTCACCAGTCCCCAGGGGCCCCACCATGCACTGCTGGTTCCTGCAACCCTGCCCATGCTTCCATAGCGTGTTCCTTCCATTAAACCTTCTGAAGGTGCCCATATTTCCAGGCAAGACTCTGACTGACTTAAATCAGGGTAAGGTTCTTGACCTGGGAGCAGAAAGACTTCCAGACATTTACTTACCAAGAGCTGTGATGGAGATGGGGGTGCTGGCCCGGCGCTCCCCCACAACCTGCCACTCGCCATCCACTGCCCGCACCCACTCGGTCACGTGGCATTCGTATTGGCCCTCATCCTCCTTCCTGCTGTTGAAGATGCCCAGGCTGAAGGTGCTGGGCTGCACCTGCTCCATCTGCACGCCTCCAAAGCTGCTGCGCTCCCAGTAGGACGCTCCAGGCTGCACGGTGCCATCCCGGTCCAGCCACATGATGTTGCTGCGACGGTTCAGCCTGTCCACAAGCTGCCAGATGACAGAGAAGCGGCTCTGCGGCCTGCCCGCCGTGCGGATGCTGCAGGAGAAGTGCAGGTTCTCACCCTCAAGGACGATGCTGGCATTGCTGGCCACCTCCACGGAGATGCTGCTTTCTGGGGACAGGGAGAGAGTGCCTGCTGGGGCTATCAGGTCTCCACTGCGCCCTCCCCACAGAGAAAGAAGGATGGGTGCCAGAGTCACCCTCTGCAGGTGCAGTGAACCTTGGAGGGTAAAAGCCCTGACACTAGCGGGATAGCCCTGGTTCCTGTGACTTTGGGTCTGATGACCGAGAAGGCCCTGTGCTGTGTGCAGAGGACTAGGGCAATGAGGGTCTAAGACCCGGGACTGAACCAGAACCTGAGAAATACAACCAATGCCATTATGCTTAGGGCATAATACAATGTATCCGGTTATTTGTTCAGCTGGGGTTCAAGGGTTTTCCATTTGGATTTTTATTAAGTTAAATTACTCGAAAATTCTTCTACAGCCGTCAAATAAAAGCTGATGTCTATAAGGTGCCATTTGAGTCCTTCGGGACAATATTAGGGAATAGAAAAACAATGACAGGAAGTATCTGAAAGATAATGTGTGCTTGGGTGTGGATAATCATGAGCACAGAAGATCTGGCTTCAGAGTGTGAAGGGAGCAAGCTCCCACACTTCCATCAACACCCAGGAACAGACCTAGGCCACTGGCTCGCCACCGTGCCGTCCACACTCAGCCTGGGGTTCCACTGTTCTTGACCTTGAAATATTCTGTCAATCGAAGTTTGGGATAAGGATGCCACTCCCTTCGATGCTTTCCTACTCACTTAGCTATATGAACTCACTCACTCAAATTATTGAAACTCTACATGCCTTCTATAAGACAGCGAGAGTATTATTTATCTCCTGCAGTTTTTTAAACATTAAAAAGTAAATGTGACATTGTATATAAATCACCTAAAACATGTTAAGCTTTCAAAAATTGGTCACTATAATCATGATTGATTTTACTATCCCCAATAACTCTGTGTTTTTATAAACAGTGTAGGTATTCTACTCTATCTTAATTGTGATTATATTATTTTGTATACTTATCTGTATTGAGTTAACAAAGCCATAACAAGTATAAAAGAATACAAAATACCATAACTAATTTGGCTCCAATTTTCTCGCACCATCCACATGAAACAGATACAATAATTTTAAATCAATCAATAAAATCAAGTCCTAGATTAAGAGGCACACCCAATTACAGAGAGGAAACACCCCCAGACCCAAGACCATGCATCTGAATCAACCTTTTCTCCCCTGTATTCCCCCACAGGCAGAAACAGGCAAAGGTGAGCGCTGAGCCCCTGTGTGTACTCTGGTTATAGTGAGCATACCTACTCCTCAGTCTGGATCAGCCTGTTTTATGTAAACAAACAAACAAACAAACAAAAAACAGGTCTGCACAAGGCAGGGAATAGGAATGTTCCCAGGAGGGCCTCCTTCCCAGGAGCCATACCAAGAGGATTCACGAAGATGATAAGGCTCCTGGTGAGCCCGCATCTATAGGACTAGTGGCTAAAAACAAGAATTTGGAAGCAGGCAGGCCTGGGCTCTACCTCTGTAATCTTGGGTTCGTACCTAACCCCACCCAGGCTTCAAAATCTCGTGCAAAATGGAGATACTAGTAGTCCCTAATTCTCAGGTACCGGCACTGAGAGTATCAGATGAGGTCATCATTTCGTCTCATCATTAATGGTAACAATATTCCTCTTTAGACTCATCCCCAGTGTTATCAATTCCAAGTGAAGGCAACTTCAGCATCAAGGGAAAAAACCCTTTTGCTGGCCTTAATCAGAAGAACGACTTGCAGGTTTCACTCCTGTCCCGTACGTACTGTCACTCCCAGGACTCTAGTGTTAGCCCTGGCCTTTGTATTGTGAGGGCTGCTGCCTGGTGCCCTGTTGCTCTAGCAAGTCTGGAAAACTGCACAATTAGAACGTGGGACTGGGAGAAAACAAACCATTACAGCAGCCCAGGCAAAAGCAAATACAGACATCGCCATTTAGACTGTTTACAAGTGTTCCTGGGCCTGAGAAAAGGCAGCTGACAATTTAAACCACTCTGGATTAAGTGCAAACCAGGACAGAACTAATGAGAATCTGAGTGCATGTTCACAAATGAAATTTCAAACCAGGAGGTTGATGGGCAGCACAGGCTAAGCGTAGAGCAGTGGATATGGAGTTAGAAGCAAATATTCCTAATGCAATGCAAGCTCAACCTCTAATGGAACTGGCTCAGCCACGTCTCTGGATGGTGCTCTGGCTTCTTCCTTTATAGAGCGATTACGATGTTGGCCTCTACAGGGATTTGAGAGGTGGGAGCAGAGATGATAGATGCAGAAGCACTTTGGGCTCTTGGGAGGAAAAGCGCCATTAAAATCCAAGGTATTATCATCATTACCAATGTGATTGCTTTCTTTGGTAGACTTACCCAAGTGGCCTTGGGGCAGGATCTGGTGGTTCTGGGGGACTTTAACTACCCAGTCATCTGCTGGAAAAGCAATATAGCAGGCCACAGATCATCAAACAAGTTCTTGGAAGGGGTTGGGGGAAATCTCTTAGCACAAAAGATAGAGGAAATAAACAGTGTGGCTGCCCTTCACTGGATCCTTACAAAACAAGGAGGAATTAGTTGCAGATTTAAAAGCAGAGAGTCCGTGGTTAAGGCAAGCACTGACCGACAGGAAAACAATAAGAGTGGGCATTCAATTCCACAGTGTCAATTCTACAGATATTCAGCAAGCACCTACCCTATGCAAAGCACCATGCTAGGCAATGCAGGGGGAAAAAGTCTAGTAACAAAAGAATTTCAAGATATTTAGGTGTGTGTGTGATTAAAAAAAAAGTAAGAAAAGAAAGTAATTCTGTTGGTGAGAAAAGGAAAAAAGAGTGGCACGACCCCTGTTTTTTTTTTCTTAATACCTGAAGTGAACTATATTAAAAATGTAAAAGTGTGAATAAGAATGAAAAGAAAATTATGGTAAGGGTAAGAGAAAGAACAGTTTGAACAGCTGAGAAAAGGTTAACGGTTAGTTTAAAAACTTCACCATCTTGTTTAAAATCAGAGCATGATAAGTTTCTTAATTCTTAATTCTTTTTACTAAAAGTAGAACTATAAGAAACATGAGATATTAATGAGAACATCCTGACACTATGGATGACTAAACACAGGCAAACACAGCCATGACCGTAGCCCACCCAGAAAACGCCTGCGTCCATGGGGGCAGGGCACCCACCTAAGCAACCTTGGAAATCAGCCTTAACTAAAAGTCTAAGCTCCAGGAAGATGTGAGAGATCCCAGCCACTGACTTTTAAAAACACAATTTCAATAGGGAAGACAAAATTTGGGAAATGCCAATTCTTCCACCCCCAAAACCCAGATGGCAAATCCTTCTTAATAATGAGCTTTTTGATTTAAAATCCCCCAAAGACGACCCACCCTCTTAGGGAAGATGTCAAGATAGGTACCTCCCCACTTCTCCTGGGAATGAATTCCCAAATAGGAGCAAACAGCTGTCCTGAGATGCCCCCTCCAGGTACAAACACAACCCTAATGTTCTGTCTACCTAGGGGGATGTCAAGTGTGGGCAGGTGAGCTGGAGAAGCGGAGTGGTTAACTGGGCTTCTCTGCCAGCTTGAACCCTAGAGTTCCACCTGCCCTCCCTGCCTACCTCCCCCTCCCTCCCCTCCAGCACAGTCTTCTCTCCCCTGACCTCTCAGTGATGCCAGCAATTGGGCCAGACCAGTAGGAGGAGGAAGAGGAAGTAGCATGTCTCTCCACTTACTGATGGGGAGGACTATGATGGGGATGTTTTTGGGACGCTTGCTCTCCTTGTCGATGAATTCCCCGGTGACCGTTTTCTCTCTCTCTGTCACACGACAGTTGTATTTCCCGCTGTCTTCCTGACGGAGGTGGAAGATCTTCAGCACAAAGATACCGTCACTTTCTTTGGCCACTTTCAGCTGTCCCCTGGCTTCCCGATGGGCGAATTCGTTGTTGAGGACAGGCACAGCATTAGGCCCCATGCTGGCGATGAGAGAGCTGTTGAAGGCCCAGGAGACAGCGAAGTAACGGTCGGGAATGTTCTGCGCCTCCAGGATGCATCGGAACTCCGCCGACTCCCCCATAGTGTACAGGCGCTTCTCTGTTTCCAGCCGAACAGTGAACTCTTTGTCTGAGAAAACAAACCATGAAACAGTGCATTCCTGGTGAATGAGGACCCCGTCCACCAAGACTGCACCAGCAGAGTCCCATCACTCATGCCTTCTTTCCAGTGCTAACTACAGGGAAGGCACCCACCACTGCACCTGTTTGAGAAAAAAATCCAGCCTGCAGCCAGATGATCCGAGAAATTCTTGAACATCGCGAGAGAACTCAAGGTAGCCAGACCAAGGCAGTCTGAAGGGTTTGTTATCCCAGGCAAGACCCATGGGTTCTGTCTGCAGCTTATACTGCCCTAGATTCAACCCCCAAAAGTCAGTAAAGAATTCTGCATATCACCTACATGGCAGATTGCAAAGGTCTAGTCTTGACCTCTACACCCAGAACTCTACTAAGCAACATCACTACAAATATTTTCAGCAGATATAGTAGGACTTACCCCACTGGGGTTTGTGAGACAAAATTATATAGTGGCCTAGGTGAACCCCCAATCCCAATAACTCAAAAATTAATATACTGAAATGCATTCTTCACCCCCATGTGAATACTGGAAATAAGACACAAGACCAACCCTAACAAAAAAATGAAAACTAATGGCTTTTCACTGGTAACCACCCGTCAAATATTAGAAAGGTATCATCAAAAGTTTGTATTTACACTGAAATAGGAGGACCTCTGAAATGGCCAGTGAACCCAAGCCTCTCCCACCCCCCTTCAAAGAGCTGGGTGTTTGATCTGGCAGGAGGGGTGATCAAAGAAGAGCTTGTCACCACTAACATGTCCCGGCACCTCGTATAATGGTGCATTGTGACTGTCGCTTCCAAGGGACAGTTGTATCTCATAGGCACCCATGGGGGGGGAGGGGGGGAGCAGTTAAGACAAAAGAGTCAAGGATTGGAGAAAACATTCTGTTCTAGAAAACAGAACCAAAGAACCTTGGGTAGGGGAAGCTGTAGCTGTAATAATGCCCAAATCCCTCCTCCTTCAAACTCTGTTCCCATAAAGAGAACATTGAGGGAGGATCACTTTAAAGGGATGTCTGAGTTCCCTGTAGATTCATCGGCTCCAAACACAATTGTCTTCCTTACCCTGGCATGTCTGAGCCTCCACCACTCTCTTTAAGACCCCTGCCCCATCTGCACCCCCCAATGTGAGCTGCTGCCTCAGCTTCCCTTTCCCACAAATCCAGTCCTAGGAGACACAGGTTCGAAGGGGTGGGTTTTACTGTCGCCCTCTGTGGAGGCACCACATGGGACTGTGTCCTGCTCTCTGCCAGATACTGGCTCTCTGGTTGACCAAATTACAGCAGTTTACATCTCAACATCAATGACAAAAAAGCACCCCTTCCACATAAACGCCACTGAAGACGTACAAACAGGTCCCTAGACCTTAGGCTTTTCCATTTCCTTAGGGTGGGCTGGCTGGTGTGGTTTTCTTCTTTTGGCAGCCACAGACTCTGACCTCATGCAATGCCCCGTGGCTGGTGAAGGTCCTAGGGTCTGAGGCCAAAGACACAATATTTACAACCTCCCTCCTGTCTCCATAGCAGTTTGCCCTTGGTTATACCCAGTCAATTAAACCTCTAGAAACTGATTTATGCCTTTTTTGATACCCCCTCACTCCTCGGCTCACTGAAATTGGCGTCTGGCTCTTTCCTCACACTTCACTGACCTGGCAAATGTCACCAATGATCTTCCCTCAAACCCCACCATGACCAAAGGCTTTTCCCAGCAAGTCAGCCTCCAGATGCACCCTCCTCCCTTGGGCTCCATGACACCTTTCCTCCTGCTTCTCCACTTGCCTCACCACTCGGTTTTTCTCTCTCACTGAGACTGCTCCTCTGACCACTTCGTCCTGTGGCTATTCTCCTCGGTCCTCACCACTCCCAAGTTCAAATCTAACCAAGCTCTGTGTCCAATGACATGCCTGGTGTTCCACATACTAAATGGCTACAAAAGTCTGCTTGCAGGATGGACTCCCTGACTACCATTTACAGGAAAAAGGACAACAGCGCTGCCACTCATGGGGGAGCGCAGACTTCCCAGCAGGACCCTGTGTGTCCTCCTGACCAGTCAAGGGCGCCCAGACAGCTGAACTCCTCTTTCCACAGTGCCTCCCCATTCTTGCCTCCAGCACCCACTCACTGCCTCCTTTTCAGGCCACTGCCGGTCCCCTAGTCCTGGTCTTTTTAGTTCTTTCTTACCTGGTCTCTCAAAACAGATCTCACCTGCTTGATCAACTTCTAGGTGACCTCCGTGTTTTCCTTCTAAACCCAGATTTGATTGTGTCCCTCCTTAAAAATCGCTATCTCCTGCCCCCAAGTGTCTGCAGTGGTGGTTTTCAAACTTTATTTGGAGGGGGCTTCCTGTTTTTCTTTTAATTTCATAACATCTGGATCTTATTTTTTAAAAAAAATAGGTTGTCAAGGCACAGGGCATGGTTTGCTGACCCCTCTTTTACTCTAATAATGTAATGTGATCTTTGAGTTTCTCATTCTAGAGTATCTTTGGTGTCCAGTATTTCAAAGTCTACATTTAATTTACTATTTTTATTCTCCCAACATGCTCTCTTTCTATCTATACATTAAAACAATTTTCATGAAGGTTAGAATTGCCTCTATTAGTACAATGTGCTAACTTCCAACTAACACCCCACAAACAACACCCACACACACGCAGCAGCAGCAGCAGCAGCAGCAGCAATAAAAGGTATCAGATGAAGTTAGAGTCATCTGAACACTGGGTTGGGGCTGACGGATCTTCCAAGCTCACTCATGTGACTGTTGGTGTGAGGCCTGGGTTCCTCAGCTCAAGGATTTCCCCATCAGTTGCCTGAGTGTCCTCATGATGGCAGCTGACCTCCTCCAGAGACGCGATCCAGTACACACCAGCAAAAGCCAGGAGTGTACTCATGCAACTGGACTCTCGAGTGCTTGATCAAGGGGCCTAGGCTCCTCTCTACAGTCCTATTGTAGACCTCAGCACACTCCTTAGCCGGGCTCTGATATCCGAAAGCTCCCTGAGTGCAGGGTCCACATGTTAATTGAATCCAGTACTGCCACCACACCTTGAAGGCTGCAGGGAGTCACTAGATGTTTGCTGAAGTGAACCTGAGAAGGCTAAGCTGGGGCTGCACCCACTGAGCCTGAATAGCACAGGGACCCAGAGTGAAGTCATCAACTTTTATTTCAGTAAGTTTTCTCTTGGCTGCCTCAGCCTGGATACATTTGCTGGGAAAATTTAAAAACTCCTAATTCCAAATTGGTAAGATTAAAATAAAGTAGATTAGCTGATGCAACCTAATTTAAAAGCATTAAGACTCAAAATCTGGTCCAGACTTTTAAAGCTGATATTAAAACCATCCAAGAAGGGAAAAGATAAATATGAAATAAGGTGCCTTCTGTAGATTTCTTCATGTTGGAAGATCCAGAAGCTTCTAAACACTCTGAGTCCTACAGATAAAGCACTGCTACTCAGGTGTCCAACCTTCTCATAAAAGCCCTCACATCCACTCGCTGTGCAGAGAATCACGGCTGCCCTGTTCCCTCTGAACCATGCTTGGCAAAACACAGACCGTGGAAAAACCACCTGGGAAGGACACCGGAAACCCAGCTTCCCAGGCCCCCGCTCAGGAGCCTGACTCAGAATCTGGACTGTTCAGGCCCAGGAATCGCACCATTAGATAAGTCGAACACCCTGCTCTAGAATGACACAACAATTATGTCAAGACCAAGACCACTGACTACAGAAAATAGGGCAAAGAAGTCAGGAAACAGGTGTTGACGAGGGGACCCCACCTGCACCTCAGACTCCCACAGACTATACCTCCACTCACCAGGACAGGGGTAGCCTCTCCCCACAGGTCAGCAGAACACAAAGAATGGCTCCTGGGCCACCTAGGATCCTGGTCCCCATGCACCTCTCAGCTTCCTCTGGTCCTCAGGCAGGACCATCTCTAGCTTCCCGTGAAAACCTCATGTACTTTCAGAGGTGACTTAAGAAGGTGTCTGCACACCCTCCCTGTGTATGACAACTCTCACAACCAGGTGGAGAATGGGGATAAGAGAGACTGACCTGTGGGCTGGACAGTGACCATGGTGCCCTCGGAACGTTTTCGGGTCATGGCATACCACGAGCCGTCGGGATCCTGGATCCACTCAGCAGCCTCACAGTAGAACTCGCCCTGGTCGGAAGGCTGCAGGTGGAAGACGGTGAGGCGGAAGGTGCTGCTCCCCACTTTGTCCAGCCGCACCTCTCCCAGGCTCTGCCTCTGGGCATACTCGCTGCTGGACTGAAGCACGAAGTCTCGGCTCAGGGCAATGACCTCGACAGGCTTCTCGCTGCCTCTCTGCCGCAGCCAGGCCACAGACAGGTGGCTGTGCTGGAACGTCTCCGTGTCCACCTCACATGTGAGCTCCAGAGGGTCCTGCTCCACTCTGTGCAGAGTCTGGGGCATGGCTGAGGTCTGCAGGGAGTCTGGGATCACTGTAACACAGAGACAACCCGAGTGTATGGTCACAATAAAGCTGCAGGATCTTCCATTCACAGGGCAAAAGCTGAAGATATCCTACTGTGGGCACATCATGAGAAAGCAGGAATTTTTGCAAAAGACAATAATGCTGAGGAAATGGAAGTCAGTGGGAAAAAAGAGGCAGACTGAAGCCACAGGCATGAGTCTATGGGAGCTGAGCAGGACTGTCAAGGACAAGACCTTGTGGACATCGCTCATTCATAGGGTCTCAAGAAGTTGGAGCTGACTCAACCACAGCTATCTACAAAAACTCCCACCCCACGCAGCCTTCAACCATCACTGCAAGGCCACGAGGACCCCAGATGGCACAGAACCATGCAGCTATAAGGCAGAAAGATCTCTTATCCTTTGAGACGACATGGAAGGACCTAGAGAGTATTATGCTAGCAAAATAAGTGGTGGTAAGATAAACGAAAGAACTTATATACAATGGACATAGACAACAATACTGTGGGGGGGGATCGGGAGGAGGGTGTCAATGGGGGGAAAAGGAGAAACATCTGTAACAAAAATAAACTAATTAGCCCTGGCCAGTTTGGCTCAGTGGTTAGAGCATCGGCCTGCGGTCCAGAGAGACCTGGGTTCGGTTCCCGCTAAGGGCACGTACCTCAGTTGTAGTTTGTCCCCGGCCCTGGTTGGTCGTGTGGGTGGCAGCCACTTGATGTGTCCCTTTCACGTCGATGTTTCTCTCTCTCTCTCTCTCTTCCTCTCTCTCCCTCCCACTCTATCTGAACAAAAAATGGAAAAATGTCCTCGGGTGAGGATAAAAAAAATAATAATTAATTAATTAACTTAAAAAATGCATTTTCTTTTAGGTGAAGTTAGATTTTATTGTTCACTCTGGTATTGCTTCAAGATACATGAAATTGGCTTCTGATCTTCAAACAGAAATCCTGGAACTTGGGGAGTTTACATTTCTATACAACTTCCTCATTTCTCCCTTCCAGCCACCACCCCATATCCTCCCAACTGACTTCAGCAATGCATTGCTCTTAGAAGGCTATTATTATTATTATATACTTTAAAAAACATTTTTGATAAAGAAAAGCATTATTTTTTGATAGGTTTGATTTTCATATAATTCATGTGTCAAGTGGTCCACAGTGTCAAGAAGCCATAGTATGGCCCTGGCCGGTTTGGCTCAGCGGTTAGAGGGTTGGCCTGTGGTCTATAGAGGCCTGGGTTCGGTTCCCGCTAAGGGCATGTACTTCGGCTGCAGTTTGTCCCCGGCCCTGGTCAGGTCGTGCGGGTGGCGGCCACTTGATGTGTCCCTTTCACGTCGATGTTTCTCTCTCTCTCTCTTCCTCTCTACCTCCCACTCTATCTGAAAAAAAAATATCGAAAAAGAAGCCATAGTATGGGGATGATTCCAGCAAGTGAAGAGTCCTCTGTGGTCCCTTGATCAGAATTTTACCCTGGGCACTAAACACCACCACCTTCTGACTGATAAGGACACCCCAGTCACAGCTAGTGCGTGTTTTCTCAGGGTTGGGTTACAGGCCTCCTGTTGGGGTGCAGACCTGTCATCAAGGAAAAGTCACCAAAGGAAGCTGGAGGTGGAGGAGGTGGGGAGATGGCAGTGTTCGCCAGTGGAAGGATCAACAATTCCAGTTGTTATTGTCACAATTAAGCCTGGAAATTATGACTTGGGCAGAAAAACAGAAGGGCCCTGACAGCACTGACCCTTCACAATGAGCTCCCTCCGCTGTCCGGGGCTCCCCAGGCCTGCTGGTCACTCCTGGGGCCAGGACCTACAGACGCCAGGTCTGAGCAAGGCCGGCAGCTGCGCTCACTTCCTGATTCAGCGGTGCCCAGGCATCTCAGAGCCCGTCCAAAGGCCCATTTCCGAGGTTTCACTTCATGCCTTTTATTTTCATATCCCCTTTCACCAGCTACAGGGCCAGTTAGTCTGCTCTGAAATATTTAATATCTGCTCTCGATCTTTGTTAAGTTTCAGCCTTACAAAGGAACACAAACTTTATTCATTTACATTACTGGGTGACCTCTAAAATATCTGGGGAGGGTTTCTTTTTTGTAAGTCAAATAAAGTTGTACTCTAAAAGAAGTAACTAAGTGTTATGGACTGAATGTTTATGTCCCCTCCAAATTCACATGTTGAAACCTAATCTCCAGTGTGATGGTATTTGCAGAGGAGGCCTGAGGGAGGTAATTAGATCATGAGGGGTGGAGCCCCATGAATGGAATTAGTGCCCTTACAAGAAGACCTCAGAGAGCTCCCTCATTCCCCTTCCACCAGGTGAGGATACAGTGAGAAGTCAGCAGTCCACAACCTGGAAGAAGGTTCCCACCAGAACTGACCAGGCTGGCACCCAGCCTCCAGAACTGTGAGAAATAAAGGCTTGATGTTTAAACCACTCAGTCTATGGTACTTGGTTATAGCAGCCCGAACTGACCATGACACTCAGGCAGGATACAGGCCACATAAAATGAGTCCTCTCCTTACCCACTAGGTTCATCTTGGCGCTGTAACTCCCAAAGTAGCGGTCATCAGTGTTGGGCGTGTAGCATTCATACTCCCCAGCATCCCGGGCCTGCAGATCGGTGATGTGCAGTAAGGCTGAGTTCCCCTGGATTCTCTCCACGTAGATCTTCCCACTGCGGACACGCTGGGTGTAGATGGCGTAAGGGAAAGAAGAGTCCACGGTGCTGACAATCTGGACCTCGCGCTCTGGGGAGGAGGGCAGGTAAATAGACCACTGGAAATTCTGCTCAGAAGGTCCCTGGTAGCCACTCACGTTGCACCAGATGGTGATGTGGGAGCCCTCCATGCGGTACAAGGGACCTTCCTGGACGGCGACTTGACGCTGTGCTGTCACGACACCTGTGGGGGACACACACACACAACAGACTCACTTACTTCTCAGACCAAGATGCAAAGTAGGCAGCAGTCTTCAAGGGCTTTGCTATTTGTGTGACATGACAGTGATATAAACAGCTTCCTGGCCCTTTCTGAGGTGCTTTATAAATACTAATTAAAACACTCCATGATAAAACACTGTCGCTAACTGGCATCTATGAGGATTTCATCGTGCAAGGATGTGGTTCTGTTACTTCTTCAGCACTCGACCCTTGGGAATGTCATTTAGTCCCTGTTTGTCATTTATGTGGCATTTTATAACTATTCAAAATGCTGTTTATAAGATTTTTAATAAAATGAGCAGGAAAAGTTGAATCCTTGGCACTAATTCATATGAAAATGAGTAAAAGCAACCTTTTTTCAATCTGGCTGCAATGAAATGCTCCTTTCTCCATTAGAGGGCTGGTAGGAGGGGTGCGGCCCTTTCTCTGGTGCTATGCCCTATATTCTCAAAAGTCACATCCAGGGCACCTTGTGGAAGACAGTCCTTACTTCCTCTGCCAGTCATGAAAGGGACAGAGCTGAGCTCCCGCAGGTGCTGCAGCTTTAAGCTGAGTAACTTGAATGTGAAGGGCTGAAGCAGGTCCCTGCTGCCCAGATGCCCACACACCGACTGCAGAGGAAACTGAGCGCAGACCAGCGATAAGAAAGTACGGTTGCCCTTGCGATCACAGCTCTGATTCCCCCACTGGCGCCCACCTTCTGGCTGGAAACTGCTTCCCCAGGGCGGCTTCTGCCTGCCTTCCTTCCCCACGTTCTTCTGAATATGGTCAGAAGACTGGGAGATATGGTGGTTTTAATTTCCCGTTACAAGCCAGCACAACACTGATTCTGCCTGAGCCACTGAGAAAGTGGGAGGGGAGAACCCCTTTGCCCTCACCCAGCCAGCAGCTGGGCATGGCAGTGTGGCAGAAAGAGCAGGCGAGGTGTAGGTGGCTGCGTCATCTTGGACTAGTTGCTTTTTGCCCTCAGGACCTTGACCTCCTTATCTATAAAGTGATTCCTAAGAAGGCTCTGGAGCAGACTAGCATGTGTGCCAATGCTGGCTTTGTCACTTATTAGCTGTGATCTTGGACATGTTACTTAACCTCTCTGAGCCTCAGTTTCCTCACCTGTAAGATGGGGATGATAATGTGTGCCTTACAGAGTCATTGAAAAGACTGAATGAGATTAAGTTGATAAAGCCCCCAGCACAGGGCCTATTCCATAGTTAGTCCTCAGTAAAGAGCTGTTAGCTAAGACCCCTTCTAGCTGGAACATTCTGTGCCTCAGGATCCACAGAGGACAGGATTTGACCAGTGATAACTCAAGAACATTCCAATGGCCTCTTGACGATGACACTGCCTCTGGACCATTCACCTCCATGCACAGCTGCAGCCCCCTCCCCTTCCCAAACAGAACCACAGCTGTCCCAGTGCAAACCTATTTGACGTGGATCCAGCTGGTGAGCAGCCAGTACAGCTCAAGCCCTGGTGGGCTCAGCTCTAAGTCTCACCAGGAGAGGTCTGAGCTCAAGCATGCTGAGCTAATATGCAAAATGACCGACTTTCAAACAGACCCTACAACAGTGTTCTCAACCTTCTTAATGTCACGACCCTTTAATACAGTTCCTCATGTTGTGGTTACCCCCAAACATAAAACTATTTTCGTTGCTACTTCATAACTGTAATTTTGCTACTGTCATGTCTTAGGCGACCCTTGTGAAAGGGTCGTTCGACCCCCAAAGGTGTCGCGACCCACAGGTTGAGAACCGCTGCCCTATAAGGAAAGGTTTGTGGCTTGAAAACTCTTACTTGCAAAGAACCTCTTCTCCCAAACAAAACCTTCTACAGAACCCCATCTCGGCTTCAGCAGCAGAAGCAGGGAAACTGAAAAAGTGTGTGTGGGGGACAAATCAACAGAACAAAGTGGTATGTGGATTTAGTGGATACATTCATCAAAGTGGTATGTGAATTTAGTGGAAACATTCATCAAAGTGGTATGTGAATTTGCTTGATATATTCTGGTTGACAGCATTTATTTCTATATTCGAAGTCATCGAGAAGACAGCTCATTAGTTATTTTCAATATGTTAAAATTTGCTGTATCACATTTTGACTGTGTACTCTTTTCAGGACAATTTAAAAAATTTATATAGTGACATTTCAACAAGTGTTTGCAGTACTGCAGAATCACAGAAACTTTGAAAACAACTACATTTATAACATTTAGGTCTCCTTGCATCTGTTTCTATGACTGAGTGGCCACAGACACTCCTCACCCACTGCCAAGAAGGTGGGTGTCAGGTCAGGACCAGCTAGCATCTTGCTTTATGAGACTACTTCTCAATCTTGGACCCACACTGGAATCTCCTGGGGAGCTCTAATAAATAACAATGCCTGGATCCCTCCCGATGTAACTGGTCTAGGGTGCAGCCTGGGCATTAGGATTTTAAAAATTCTAACACACAGCAGGGTCAAGACCGCTGCCTTAAAGGTCTCTGCCTGCCCGGTGCCAGCTAGGTGCCCACATTAAAGAAACTATGCTAATTTAAGGCTCTCAACAGCTTTACACTCCTCCCTTCTACAAAGACTCTACACTGATGTGGATCAAGAAAGTTTCTTTCTCTTCTAGTGAAAGGACAGAAGAAAGTGGCAGAGGCCATTCAGATACTGACTACTGTGATGCAATACTGAGCTTACTCTGAGTGGAACCTATTTACAGACCTTACAAAAGCACTTGATCACCGGATCACGCACATTACTTTCCTGAAAGTTAAACAGTGTTAAGTGGCCTGAATGAGCACAGGGCAGCAGGGTCAAAACTACTTGTCCAAGCCGGAAGCAGGTTATAAATAGCCCTGACAAATAAATAAATACTGGATTGTACTTTAACCAAACACATTCAGCTGCACCTGCTTATGAAATAGCTCCTTAAGTTAAATCCCTGGAAATAATGCTGTTCTTAGGAAGTGGATCTTAACACAGAAATAAAAATTAACTTCTCACCCTGGCCGGTTTGGCTCAGCGGTTGAGCGTTGGCCTGCGGACCAGAGAGTCCCGGGTTCGGTTCCCGCTAGGGGCACATACCAAAAAAAAAATTAACTTCTCAGCAGCTCCATTCCCTTTCCACACTCACCCTGCCCATTTCCTTCTGTTGGCACTGGCCCTGCTGTGCAGACCTCACTCTCCTCGACATGCTGCCTTCAAACACACCCTGGCCCCCAACCCTGACCAAGGCATCCCCTGACCCCACCACCCTTCCCTGTGCCCTCACAGCCTAGGACAGAAGGCTCCTCCGAGCAGGTAAGCACCTTTTTTTTCTTTAATAACAATTTTTACTTTTGATATTCCTGTACTTTTTGAATTATGTATTGTAGTAAACAAATACTGCATCTATAATTCAAAAAGAAGAGATCAAAGTATTATATATAGCTGTATAAAAAAGGGCTAGACACAAAAAGTAGAAAAAGAGTGGAAAATAAAAATAGAAACAAAAACGAGGACAACAAATAAAATTAGTAATGAATATGGTAGATATTAATCCAACTATACCAATAATCACTTTGACTATCAGTGGTCTAAATGCAGCAATTAAAAGACAGATTGTCAGGTTGGATCAAAAACACAACCCAACTACATTTGTCTATAGGAAACCTATTTTAAATATAAAGACACATATAGGTTAAAAATAAATGAATGAATAAAAATATACCACCTTAACATTAATTAAAAAAAGAAGGAATAGCTATGTTAATTTTAGATAGAGCAGACTCCAAAGTAAGGAGAGTTATCAGGGATGAAGAAGGACATCACATAATGATAAAGGAGACAATTCTCCAAGAAGACATAACAATTCTTAGCGTGTATGCACCTAACAACAAAGCAAACTACAAGACACAAAAACAGAACTGCAAGGAGAAATAGATGTATCCACTATCATAGTTGGTAATTTCAACACCCCTCTATCAGAAATGGACAGATCCATCAGGCAGAAATTCAGTGAGGACACAACAGAACTCAACAGCACCATCAATCAACTGGATACAATAGACACCTATAGAATACATCATCCAACAACAATATACATTCTTCTCAAGCTCACATAGAACATTCACCAAGACAGACCACAGTATGGGCCATAAAACACACTTTAACAAATTTAAAAGAACAGAAATCATGCAATGTCTACTCTCAGACCAAAATAGAATTGAACAAGAAATCAATTATAGAAAGATACCTGGAAAATCCCCAAATACTTGGAAATTAAACAACACACTTCTAAATAACACACGGGTCACAAAAGAAATCAAAAGAAATTAAAAATATTTTTAACTAAATGAAACCCAAAATACAACATATCAAAAGTGTTTATATGCAGGGAAACCAGTGCTTAGAGGGAAATTTATAGCACTGAATGTATATGTTAAAAGAGAAGAAAGATCTCAAATCAATAATCTAAATTTCTACCTTAGGAAACTAGAAAAGGAAGACCAAATTAAATCCAAAGTAAACACAATAAATAGTAAGAATTAGAGCAGAAATCAATTTAACTAAATACAGGAAATCAACAGAGAAAATGAACAACACTAAAATCTGTTTTTTCAAAAGATCAATAAAATCAATAAGCCTCTAGGGTAGCTAACTAAGAAAAAGAGAGAGAGTATACCAGTTACAAATATAAGAAATGAAAGAGAGGAGTCCTGGCCAGTTTGGCTCAGCGGTTAGAGCACTGGCCTGCGGTCCAGAGAGACCCGGGTTCGGTTCCCACTAAGGGCACGTACCTCGGTTGCAGTTTGTCCCCAGCCCTGGTTGGGTCGTGCAGGTGGCAACCACTCGATGTGTCCCTTTCACGTCAATGTCTCTGTCTCTGTCTCTGTCTCTGTCTCTCTCTCTCTCCCTCCCTCCCTCCCACTCTATCTGAACAAAATATGGAAAAATGTCCTTGAGTGAGGATTAAAAAAAAAGAAATGAAAGAGAGGAAAT